AGTTAATAAAAAGACTTCTTTATTATTAATAAAATAAATGATGAAAATATACAATAACTCAAACCTATCCAAATATGATTAGATCTTGAGCACTTAAACTAACAAATCGTTCTTGGGATACATTGTTTATAGCCCGGCTTGTCTCAACGTTATGCTAGGAGCATAGCTCATATACCCCGTTGATCTAACTAGAGGGACCTAAGGAAAAGTTTCACGAGTAAGCTAAATATGATGTTTAATTAATCCATACTTGTCTTTCATAAGAATTGTTCATTAGGTAGGTCGAGTAATAATGCACCTCCTTCTTGCTCGGTATGGTTCTTCCATGATGTTATTATGAACTTTTTTGGAAGCTCTTGATCTTTTCACTAAACATAATCAAACATTGATCTCTCGTACTTTCATATGATCGATCATTCATATGCACAACAATTATACATAGTATCTCATCCCACCTTTACCAAATCTTCGACAATGATTCGAGTGACGTAATGGTCTTAGTAAAATAACAACAATGGGATTAACCGAGCTCTTCTCTATCTCTATAAAAATATTAGCATCATCAAGAGTAATCAATCTAATAGGGGATGGAAATAGAATTAAATTGAATACACATAAATCTAAAACCCAAAATTTCTTCGAACTAATAATGACTTTGCTCATGCTTTATTTGAACACATCTAGTAAGGCCTCGTAATGCCATCCCTCAATGGCACTTTTAGCTTATACTTAACTTAAATCTACACCGAGCCAGTTTTCAACCCTTTTATCTACTTCAATACATCGATAATAAACTTGATACAAAGGATTTTGTATTTACAAAAAAATAATGGTATTCTTTCATAGTGGGAGTCATATCCGGGTCTCTTATAGTGAAGCAATCATATAAGGGTCCCATAGAAAGACGAGAGCCCTTAACATAGACTTCTAGACTAGTATCTCTATTAGTGCAACAAGTTTCTATATTTGAACATTTATTTGTCATCAATAGTCGGGAGCTCTCAACATTCAAGGAGTTTATTTATGTCATTAATCATCGACTATAGTCCGATTATTAGGCGATGGTCATTCCGAAATCTCTCTCAAAGGTAGTCTCCCTCTTCTCACTCGAAATGCCTTAGATTCTATTTGAAAGATTGATGTTGGCTTAAACCGTATCCGAGCTCTCTTGTCACTCCTCCTAAAATATCATGACCAAATTATTTTAGTTAAGGTTTCAAACATGTCTAACTTGTTTAGTGTATTTAACTAAGGAGAAATGGTCCTAGTGGTCCGATTATAGCCATTATATAAATGGGTAGGCTCTATATAAGTCTCAAAAGGTACCTTGCAGCCTAGTTGACCTTTAGTAAGTTTACTAGAACTATCCACAATGACATTAGCAATTGTGAAAATCATTGATTATCCATCACCAATGGTAGTTAACAAGAAGGTTTGAGGTTTCGTGAGTGTTTACCCAAGATAAAACCCATTAGGACACCACTACTAACTCCCTAGATCCCGAAGTAAAATGTATATAATTTAAATATGCAAATGTAGTGTTATGTGTGGGGCATGACTCCATATCTAGTCTCAATATAAAATAAAGGGCTAAAAATTAGACAACCAAATATATAAAGAAAAAAACACAAACAACGTCACATATACACACATTTTTAGAAAATAAAAATAGATAAATAATTAAATAAAAATTAGTCACTTAAAACATATAGGCATAAAAGCATAACAAACAATCGAGAGATTTACAAACATAGATATTCAAAACTTGACCCTAACAAGGCTTTTTCTCCAATAGAGTTGCAATTCTATTGATGTGAGCCCATAGGGGATGCATAGGAAACATGATTCGCCACCTAGCTAATTGAAAAGAATTAGAAAACCTTAAACATAACGATCTATATAAATATCTAGATAAAGATTCGGTTATATATAGAAAAGATATAACATCACCGCCATCCCATCCTACCTAACGTAAGCTACATTCAATGCATATAAAAATAAAAATCTAGTTTTATTATGTTACGTTTCTATACCTAATTGAGTAAATTTATTTCATCATGATGGAATAGTAGAGTAATTTGAGGTTTAGGCCAGTTTGATGCCAATACCCATACTTAAAAGGAAAAGATAGGGAAGTTGGAATTTTGACCAATTTTTAGCAAACATGACCTATATCGACAAGTAGTTGGGTTTCTAAAGATTAATAGCTTTTTATTAATATGAGTAACGAGTCATCAATAACTCGATCACACAAGTAGAAAGCCGTCGGTGACTTCAAGTCATGGATTTAAGAAGTGATCGGCAATTTTGTCATATAAATAAAAAGCCACCGATAACTTTATTTTACTCGAGCAAGAAGCAAGTAACTAATTTGAAAGCATCAATAACTTTGTCACATAAGTGAGAAGCCATCAATGGTTTCGTTTCAAACAAGCAAACAATAAGAAAAATAATTTTGGAACCACTAGCGGCATCATTACATAAGTGGAAAGCCACCGACGACTATAGGCACACAAATTGATTAGAAGTCATAGGCTACTCGATCGCATAAGTAGGAAACCATCGATAACTTAGTTTTTGGCAAATAGACACAACTCTCAAACATAATCGGACATAGTATTTGATAGCACAATCATTTATGACACAACATTTTCACCAACCATTCATCATTTTAAACAATTCAAACATGTTTAGGAATTACTCAAATGCCATGAGAATGTTAGAAGTCCTTTCTTTAGATCGGTTACTATCTTTAATATCGATAAAGACCGATGATTTTAGTCGACTCGATAAGAAGGAAGCAATTTTTTATGTGTATTAAGGAGGCTACTATACGATGATTGGAATGCCATTGATCAATTATGAAATGATCAAAATAACCCTACACATAAAATTACCAAAATACCTTTGAAGGACAAAACGACCACTACCGACTACCCGATCACTAGCCATTAGTCCTTAAGATGTGTGAACCATGCCGCCTTTATAAAAAAGATCATTGCGAGCTCAATGGTGGTTATGGTAGTCGTTGTCGATGTCAAAAAGGGAGATCGAAGACTTCAAAGTTTTGGGCGGACCTCATCTTCTTTTCGATGACAATTCTAGCAATGTTAGGGGATTTAAAGGACACCAATAGATTAGCGAAGATAAGGGAAGTGTTCATGTATTGGTTAGGGAGGTCAATTTGGCCTTGATTAGCCTATTTTTTTGGGTTGCACAAAATGAATCGGGAAATTGGTTGTCGTCGATTAGTACGTTTTTCGATGACTTTTAGCCATAATACCAAAAAGGAATTACTCGAGGGAGTCGGGCTACCACATCTATGGTGGTGGCAATTGATGGTTTGGTCAAAATTACGAGTTACGATTGAGTTGCCAAGCGAGATCGAGTCACGGTGGTTCTAGCTTCAATTTCTTCCTCCTTTGACGTCTTCTCCTTCTTCTAACTCGGTAAGGATGGGTGGATCGCGGAGATGGGCTATCCGTTGATGATGGCAATTAGAAGTAATATCAATCAAAAGATGGTCAATTTGGTAAAGGAACTTGTGGTCGTGTAAACGGGTTCATTGCTTGAGTAAGGGCATGTTTGGCTTTTTTTTCTATTTTCGGTATTTTTCGTATGGAGGTTTCTCATTGGTGGTTTTATGGGTTTTTTAGGTGATGGAGGGTGGAAGGATGTGTGGGGGGTGTTGTGAAGTGAAAGGGGAAGGTTGATGGTCATTTTAGTGGAGGATAATGGCTTGGACGATGGAGGAATATGGTATTTTTTTATGGGTTTAGATGATGGAGGAGCTTGAAAACCAACTAGAGATAATGGAACAACTACTTGGAAAATTTTGAGAGAGATAAAGGCTTGTTGTGTGTAGATAAAAACGAGTTTTTATGGATAGGAATTTGAGTTTTTGGAGAAAAAAAATGAGTTTTGATCCCCTATTCCACCTAATTCATCCAATTAAACGTAATTTGAGCTATCTAAACTTCAATAGCACCTCAAATTACGATTAATTAGAGCTTTTCTTAATTAATTTGTCAAACCATATCCCTCCTTTTTTTTTTTTAATTTAAGCATTTGACATTTTTTTTTACTTTTTAATTATTTTTCCTTTGATTAGATTTTACTTAGGTTCTCAAACTTTCTTCTCTTTTTTTTTTAATTTAATTAGGTTAATTTTTTATTTCTTTCTTTTTTTCTATTTTGTTTTCATTTATTTTTTTTTATTATTATTATTATTATTATAGTTTGTTTGTTTTTTTTTTTAGTAATAAAAGAAAATTATGGCTGAATAAATTGGGTATCAACAGAGGATTAAGTATGGTAGGTGGATGAAAGAAGAATTCGAGGCAGAGAGTTTTTTCGGAGGAAAAAATTCACATCGTCACGAGTGTCATGCAATTTATATGAACCTCCTATGTGTTAGCAACTCAATCGATGGGAAACCCTAACGAGGCAACTCAATCTGCACATTATAGCAAAATCCTTACAAGCAAACTCATACTGGTGTGCACATGCAAATCTCCAGCAAGCATCAAACACCAAGATGTAAACAAATTCCTCAAATCAAACACAATACCAAAAAAGATGTTTCTCGCATACACCCATAAATTTAATGGCCCTTCAAAACCTTATGCAACTATAATTGCATACAGTCTGCATCAGCCAAAAAATTAAACAACCATCTTTAAGATCGATTTCCCTGTAATGTTGCCATGACTTCTACAATATTCAAATACAAATTAGGCTTCATGACTGCGGCAAACAGGGAAACTGACCTTTTCTTTGGCCTTTACAGGTATGTAACTCGAATAGCATCATAATATATCATGTGGGATTGAAATTATTTAACCCCCCCAAAAAAAAAAAAAAAAACCTGGAGTGTTGGGGGCAGAAAAGTGAATAATGTTGTGAATAAGTGTGAGATAAAGAATATTGCAAGGTAAAACTTCCGAGCATCACTGGCAAATGTTTTAGTAAGACGAGCAGCTAAATGAGTATAGACCCAGTCAGTCTAAAGCACCTAGGACCGCATCAACAACCTCTTGAGTGGTGCTGGTTCCACCTAGATCTTTTGTCCGGTAAAAACCCTCTGAAATTACCCGTTTGACTGCAGTTTCTAATCGATCAGCAAAAGAAGGGAACTGGAGATGTCTTAGCATCATGGCAGAAGAGAGAAGCAGTGCCACTGGGTTTGCTGTCTTCTGTTCTAATAGTTTATAATTGCCTACGTTTCCTGCTGAAGCACCTTGCTCGAAAATAGCATGATCGGCCCCAACATTGCCTGCAACAATGATTCTGAATGAAAAATACAAGTTTGGGCAAATGGAACACAAATTAAATTTGGGTAAATGGAGCACAAATTCTTTCTAAAAATTTCTGCTCTCCCCTCTTCTTATGTAGAGAGAAGAGGAAAGGGGGAATGGATTATTAACAGAAGAAGAGATGCATGTAAATTAAAGAAGGCAAACAATGATCCAAATTCACACCAAGGATCCCGTCCCACCAAAACACACACACAAAATACATGTGCACATACATATGTGTTTGTCAGTAGCATATTCATTATCCAAAATGCATATCCAATGGGATTGATATTCTTAAAGTGCATCTATAACCATTTGTTCAGTGTACCTGTTTTACCTAACTAGCACCAGTTGTCTCTAAGCATCGCCATATGTATTCAATGGATGATGAAGTTGTTTGCCAGACTTTCATTATACAGTGAAAGGATATTGCTATATAAAGGATGGCTGATGTGTAAACATTTAATTCCACATCAAAGACAAAAGATATTCTAGGACTGGTGAGCAACAAACAGGAGATCTAGCCATAATAGCAGACTTGGTAGGGAATGATCTTAGCATTTGAAACATGAAATGCTCAAAGGTTATCAGACGCATTTCATTTTAAGCTCAACATTCTCCAAATTCTCCAGCATCAAAAATCTCTAAGATGCGCCCCTAATTGCTTTCCGAATTCCCGATAGACTGACAGCTCAATTCATGACCTCAAATCTCTTAGTAAAATGCTCCAGCACTACTGAGCTCTCAAAGGAGCCAGTGCCACCAGATAAATCATTCATTTTATAATCAAATGAATACATGTATCGTGCGGACTTAAGGATCCACAAATGCCATCGGGTAATTTAAAAATATAGAAACCAACTAAACTACACCAGCACTAAACTTTTTACCTAAAATCATGATTTTCATATCTGTTGTCGCAGTTGAGTTCCTCTACCAACTAATTTTGCAAAGCAAGCAATGTTAAGGTGGCTTAAAGCATTCCATATGAATGAGCTAAAACTCTTAAAAGTAGAAATTAGATCACAAAAAACTATGATAACCATTCATCAAGTTTCTTTCTTGATTACCTACTTCTAGTGTTTTTTCTTCCATCAGTATTCCAACAGCACAGAAAACTACAATAAACGAAGAAGTTGTGAAGCAAAATATATCCACAGATTACCTCCTGGCATGACTCCAGTGCCACCAGCAATACCTGCAGCTGTATTTGCAACAAGATTGCCATAAAGATTAGGTGTCACCTGCAAATTGTAGAACCAGTGATATCAGCTAAAGAATGTTCCTTTGCTATCCATCTCCACGTTACTATTTCAGAAATGGGAAGGGGAAACTGAAAAGTATTGAGATTTTAAAGAAGAGCCAGCAGAGCTTCACAAGCACTATTGATTATAATCTAATATTAAATCTTAAGTCAATAAGAACAATTTTTAAAAGAAAAATTATTAATTCAACATAACAGCTTATTATAAACTAGAAGATATAGTAAAAATATATATATATATATATTAAAATAGAGTCAACCAAATTTCAGATAGCAAGTCAATAAATGACATGCAGTCAATGCAATAGTACCAACAGCAATTGATTAAATTTTGCACAAACAGCTAGGCAAGTCGCATATAAATTATATTGTTCTTATTCCGTACCATGACATCAAATTGCTCAGGCTTTGAGACAAGTTGCATGCAGCAATTATCCACAATAATTTCATTGTATTTGATCCCAGGATATTTTGTAGCAACCTCCCTACAAGATTCCAAGAACAAACCATCTGCAAGCTTCATAATGTTTGCTTTGTGCACAGCTGTCACTTTCTTCCGGTTATTCAGGTAAGCATACTCAAAAGCATATTTTGCAATGCGCTCTGAACAGAACTTTGTTATCACCTATCAAATTAGTAAGTATGAGATACAAAAATAATCCCCAAAATGCAAAATCAGACAAAGTAAAGGAAAAACTAGTTCACTCAATAATCAAACAATCAAAATTTAAAAAACTACATAGTAAAGATAAACAATATAGGATACAAGATATCTTTCATTCATTTATTTCAATCCTACTTTCAAGTTTCTGAGCACAAAGCACAACTCAACAAAACATTCAGATATATGAATTTATCCAATAATGATTAGGAGGGATTATTTGTAGTCCTTCCCTTCACATTCAAGAATGTGGAAAAAAGGATGTCCACAGGTCGCATTGATAGTTCCACAGTGAATATAGTGCTAAGTACTACAATTTTGAAGTTTCAAAGTCCGAAATATTTCCCAATTCCAAAACACAAGCCAAAATAACTTCTACCTATACTCAATCAACACCAAATATTGGCTAATTAAAAACGAAGATAACAGCTAAATCTTCGTTAAAGCCAAAATATTTCCCAATTCTAAAACACAAGCCAAAACAACCTCTACCTATACTCAATCAACACCAAAATATTGGCTAATTAAAAATGAAGATAACAGCTAAATCTTCGCTAAAGCCACTTTACCGTGCATCTAGGACTCATATTTCAACATTAATACCAAAAATATCTCTGAACAGAACAATGGTCACTTAACTATCATAAATTCAATCAAAATTATCGCCAATTTCCAAAAAAATTAAACAGTGTAAATGCGGGACTAAAATCTAAGGAAAAGCTAGATAACAGAGACTTCCAAGGTCTAATGATGATCACCTAAACAATCATATTTGAATCCTAATTAATACCGATTTCACTCGTATTTTTCAATTTGCAAATTGTGGAGCCCATACATACTGAAATCTAAACCAAAGGGATACGTACCAACTCTCCATGCTTGATCATAATAATCACATCAACAGTAACACATACTCAATCATAATTACTTACCCCAGTTTCATTCATATTTCACAACTCACAACCAAAAATCCATATTCCCAGAATTTAACAGTAATCACATTAATAACAACAACAAAAACAACACATTCAATCATAATTAACACTAATTCATCCCGATTTAAATTTTTTACCCCATCATTTTGCATGCAATGTGGGATCCACGAAGACGCTAAAATCAATGAAAACACATACCAAACATCAATGATACTTCTATATTTCTAAAATACTAAGGTAAGCCATAATCACATTAGCAGCAACATATTCAAATCATAATCAATACCAAATCATCCAAATTTTTCGACACCGTCATTTCGCACTCTTTGTGGGACCCACAAAGACACTAGTGTGCAAGCAAAATAGACATCAAACAACAGCAACAATAACAGTGATAATCCTCTCTCTAAAATTCAAAAGTTTTTTAACCAGAATCACAAAAACGAAATACCTTAAGACTCTCAACAACACCAGGAACCACTTCATGCTCCAATCCCGCATACTCTCCCTCCGTATTCTCCCTAATAACAACAATATCAACATTTTCATGTCGTGTAGGCAACCCTTGCAGATTAAAACAATTCACCAGCGACGCATACAAATCCAACTCCTTCCTCAATTGCACATTCAATGAACTAACTCCTCCTCCCATAGGCGTCGCCAACCCTCCTTTCAAGCACACTTTGTTTTTCTTTATCGATTCTATCACTTCTGATGGTACTTTCATCATGTCGCCATGGATGTCGTATTTCTCGAAATAGATTGGTGCGTGCATTGCTTCCATGACTTGTTCGACGGCGTTGGTCACTAGAGGGCCGATTCCGTCGCCGGGGATTAAAGTTACGGGTCGTGGCGAGCCATCGCCGGGGCGTGGCATGTAGGTTACGGATCGGCGGAGGGTGGGGGTGGAGGAAGAGGATAGGAGTTGTTTTAGGACGGGTATGGAGCGCCTCGCCATCGGGTCCGGTTTTGGGAGGGGAGAGGAGAGGAGAGGAGAGGTATTTGGTTTTGATTGATTTATGAGGGGTGAAATGGCATGATTGAGGGAATAAAATTAAAGACGCGAATGGAAGACGGAGCTGTGAGTGACTAGTTGGAAATTTTTTAATTATGGGAATAAATTAAAGGTTGACTAAGATTTTTTCTTCTTCTTCATCTTTTTTTCAAAAAAGGCGTAGATTCTTGTTTTTTTTTTAATTATTATTATTATTTTATTTTTTTCGATTAGGTAATTTTTTCGAGTAAGAGTTAAAGTATCTAAAACCTTGATGATAGTTGATGTCTCTTTTAATATAATTCACCATCCTTCTGCAGATGATACTCATACAGATTCAAGTGAAGGGGGGAAAAAATAATCTCACCCGACTTAGATAGATAGCCAGGAAAAGGGACAGTTTTTGCATTATAACTGTTACTTGCCTCGCTCAAACCTCAAATATATTTTTTAAATTGATGTATATTCTATACACATACTTTTTTTATTGTATAAAAAAATAATATTTTAAAAATAATGCAAAATATAAATAACTCATCATAAATCCCAAAGGATCTCAACCCAATTCAGGATATGAAACCAGTCAATCCTGGTTGGTCTGCAGAAGATGCAGAGAGGAGGTGGCAAAATTGACCGGATCAAACTTGTTAATATCTCTAGCTAATTAAGATTAAACTTGCATCCTATTAATGTGATCAAAGATATTTACCGTCTTTGTTAAGAAAGTTCGCGAAGATTTGATTCGAACACAAGAGTATGATTTTCATGTTCTAATCAAAGGTTAAAATTTTATAGTTAAGAAAGAAGTATATTACACTACAAAAATTTCAAGAAATAGCGACAGAATTTTCCTAAAATCCATCGCTAAATGATTTCAATGACGAATTAGAAATGAAATCCAATCTGTCACTAAAGTAGTGTTCGCTATTTTTTTAGCGACAAAAATTTTTTTCATCGCTATTTAGAGACGGATTTTCCATCACTATTTTGTTAATATTTCGTCACTAAATGATTTTAAATCAGCATTCTCTAACGTCTCTTATCCATCGCTAAATGGCTTTAACTGAGTATCATCTGTCACTAATTATCATCTCTATTTCATCGTTATTTTTATTTTTTTAATAAATTGTCATTTATTAGTAATTGTAACAACAAACAAATATAAACAACACCTTATTAAAATATGATATATTATTAAATAAAATTAAAATTATATTAATTGAATTAAAACAAATATATAAATGCTTTAAAATGTACAAAAATATTAAAAACATTTTTCAAAAAACAAAAAATTTAGTCTTCATTATCACCATCTCCTACATTATCTTTCGGGTGTTGGTTGTTAAGAGAAACAACTAACCGGTAGGTTATGCGAGGATCGGTAGGAGGGAGACGACTAGGGATTCTCTAACAACCTCAAACTCTCTGCTATCAAGTCTATATACTTTAAACTTTACTCGGCCTATTGTTGGATGGTAGCTTCTATTCCCTTGATTCGATCTTCGTACTTGGGCAAAAGACTCGTAAATATTACAACCGGGATACCACAAAGTGGTAAAGGAGGAGCCGGCATGAGAATGCAAGTAACATCGAAATGCATTAGTAAACCAATTATGCTATATTGGTATACTTTCATCTGTAGCCATAGATAGGACTTGTCCTATCTCACCTATCTGTGTATCTCCATTAGATTCCCAATGCACGTAACGAATTGCCCATATGCAACTCTTTACTAAGCTCATCGAAATAAGTGTCAAAGTATATCAATCCTCTAATGAGATAACTATGATGATTTCAAGTCAAATTACCACTTGTACCCATCTCATACAAGATTCTCATAGACAATACCAAATGAGTTCTCATGGCGAGTCACGTCCAAGTGATATGTTCTCTAATATTATTCACATGAGTGTTTTCTTTGGCATCATCATACTAGTAGGTGTGAGATCTTCTATCGCTATATTATAGCGGAAGCATAGCACTCACGAGCCTTACCGCATGTTGTCAATATCCATTATTGACAATGATACGACTTGGGATATTTAATGATATCATTTAAATACATTGATATTTTTCTCACATCTATTGATGAATCATTAATCTAATGTATATCATATGGACTTTTATCTAATTCTATCAAATTATAAATAAGAAGAATTAATAAAAAGACTTATTTATTAATATTAAAATGCAATAAAACAATTCATCAAATCATCTAAACATGTTGGATCTTGAGCACCTACACTAATAAAATGTCTTGCGAGGGTTGGTTACTTATGAGGCTTTGGTTGTTTATAGGTGTTGGCATTGTGACACCCCGGCTCCCTTACCTATTACCTAACGAGCGTGACCGGCGCGACACACTCGTTGGGACTAAGTCCCTACTTCCTCCATCGTACACAACAAAAATAAAACCATGGGAAACGTATAATATAATTTACAACATTATTACGGATAGTTCTATAATTTAAAACATATTCAAAATGCCTAAAAATTTACAACCTAGGCTCGTACCCCTTTTTATTGACACAAAAGATATTCCTATTTTTATGAGTGACACATGAGCCTCTTTTAACGAGAACCGGTAGCATCCTCGATCGGCTTAACTTTGCCCTTGCTCGAACAACACATAAATGCAATAGCAGAATGAGCCAAAGCACGATAAGTAGAGTGATGCACGTGATATGCAATGCTATTGTGTTTCCTATATTTTCATCCATTTTAATCCGGTACCCTAGGTATATGCAAGTTCGTGTGCCCAATCTCTCGGTGATCGTGTTATCACCTATTGTTCTATTACTTTCTTTCGGTGATCTCAATATCACCTACCGCTCGCAACGAATTATCCCTCGTTGTAGCACACGGTTAGCGGAATTATCCCTCGCTTAACGGTGTTAGTAAATATAGCTCGCACTATGGATTCCTTGCTATTACTCAATCTACTCAATTCGGTTACCAAACCATGTCAATTCAAAACTCAATGATTTTTCTCAATTTATTTCCACCCCCAATGCACATGATGCACGTGATGACATGTTTAATCACATTCAACCAAACTCGGGTACCGACCCTTCTTTCTCAAGCCATACTCACGGTCCAACCATCACTCGGGATTCACTCGACGCTCACATACCAATCATGGTACTTATAGCGGGAACACAACTTTCGCTCATTAATATTGTTTATTAGTTTCATTAATAATTAAAGAAGGTCCAATTCTTTTTTTTTTAATTTCCTTTATGAAAGAATAAATTTTCTTTAAAATTTTAAAATCCTTTTTATTTCTATCTAAGTCCACTTATTTTAGCCTAAGCCCATTTTCGTTAGTCTAAGCCCATCTACTTTAAAACCAAGCCTTTTGATTTTAGTCCAAGTCCATTTCCAAGTTTATTTTATTTAAGTCCAAGCCCATTAACATTAATTCAAGCCCAAGTCCATTTGTTTTAATCTAAGTCCATTTTATTTTTAAATCCAAGCCCATCTCATTTTAACTCAAGTCCAAGCCCATTTATTTTAATCCAAGTCCAAGTCCATTTGTTTTAATCTAAGTCCACTTTATTTTTAAATCCAAGCCCATATTATTTTAATTCAAGTCCAAGCCCATTAACATTAGTCCAAGCCCATTTATTTTAATCCAAACCCAATTCCATTTTTTTTAATCTAGGACCACTTTATTTTTAAATCCAAGCCCATCTCATTTTAACTCAAGTCCAAGCCTATTAACATTAGTCCAAGCCCATTTATTTTAATCCAAGCCCAAGTCTATTTATTTTAATCTAAGTCCACTTTATTTTTAAATCCAAACCCATCTCATTTTAACTCAAGTCTAAGCTCATTTATTTTAATCCAAGTCCAAGTCCATTTGTTTTAATCTAAGTCCACTTTATTTTTAAATCCAAGCCCATCTTATTTTAATTCAAGTCCAAGCCCATTTATTTTAATCCAAGCCCAAGTCTATTTTTATTTTAATCTAAGTCCACTTTATTTTTAAATCCAAGCCTATCTCATTTTAACTCAAGTCCAAGCCCATTTATTTTAATCCAAGCCCAAGTCCATTTATTTTAGGTTAAAATTTTTCAGCAGTGGCACACCTAAACAACCTATACCAAACCAGCCATAACTGCTTAAATATATATCTAAAACTCCCAAAATGTTAAAAGGCGATATTAGACATATAGATCAACAACTTTCATTCTTTAAGTTTCCTCCAAAAATCATTCTAAAATACTTAAATAATTCACACAAGTTTCAGAACTAAATAAACTTTTCCAGTACCTGGTCCATTCAACCACCCGTACCAAATCAGTCATAACTCCTTACATACAGATCTCAAAATCATGAAAATTTATATAACTATAGTAGACACATAGATGAACAACTTTTCTTCTTTGAGTTCTGCCCAAAAACCACTCTATGATCCCGCAATAAATCGCATAACGTTCGGAATGAAATATTTTTCCAGTAGAGGTTCCATCCGAACGATCCATACCAATTCAGTCATAACTCCATATATATATCTCTAAAAGTCACTAACTTTTAAATGGACATAGTAGACACATATATCAACAACTTTCATGCTTTGCATTATTTCTAAAAATCACTCTAAGATGCCGAAATAAATCACACCAAGTTCGGGTTTTTCCATCCCTAAAATCCAAAAATCTTCTCTTAAAGCACATTTCTCAACACACATGCTTAACCATCCATCATCAAACATCAAGTGTTTAAAATCATCATAAATACCATAATCACATTTCACATGAATTATATAACTCACAAAATAAACATGGAAAGCATAAACAAAGCAAGAAAAAAAAAACCTACTTACATTGGATTAACTTTCCTAAAATCTCTTTTGCTTCCTTTTAGGTTCCCCTTCTTTTTCCTTCCCTTTTTTTTCTCTTTCTCCCCTCTCTTTCACTCTTTCTTTCTTGCTTAAGGCAGCTACGGGATGGCACCAAAAA